TTTCTGGCTTACCTCTCCATCTCCTATCTCAACATTCCCTTCACTCCATGTCTAGCCTAGTGGATCCATTTTTAATTTCCTGAACTCCCTCATCTCTTCCTCATTTTCAGACTTTTGCACTTATGTTTTCCTCTGCCCCAAACACTGACCATCTCTTAAAAGGTGATTTTCAGAAAAAGGTAAAATTGTGATTCTCATACTGATGCCAGGTGGGGTGCAGTGTGTTGCCAGGTGGGGTGCAGTGTGTGCAGTGTGTGACTCCACCACAGAAAAGACTTTCAAAGTGACTCCCAAGTATATTAAGGCAGAATTTATGAGAAAGATAAAACAAGCTCAAAGGGCATGGGTGCCTTAAGAGAAAGAACACATAATTGCCTTTGACAAGAAGCTTTATACACTTTTACAATCATGAGTAAGCAAACCATGAGCTAAGAGGGATCTGCTGCAGGTGTCTGGTCATGAGTTTTGCTTACCATCTCTCCACCTTCTGAGGTTACAAGAACCTTCTAAATAACGTAAGCTATTGCCTGACCAGATTTGGGCTTTTCTTAGAATACCATGTCTGTGTTTTGGATAATTCCCTGTTGTTCCTGCGATTTACAGCACTGGTAGATCCACATTCCAGCCTGCAAGGCGGTCAGGACTGATGTGCCTGGCCAACAGGGTGAAGGTCCTGGACCGATGGGGAAGATGCCTGAACACTTACCCTATTTTAATGTAGACCTGCCTACAAGAAACTTTTCTATGTCTAACCTGCACTGAGTAACTTGCCTCAATGCTGTTAAACTTAAAAAATTATCCTGACACTTGTTAAAACAGTAAGAAAGTGGTGGTTCAAGCCTGTAATCCCAGCACTTTGGGAGGCCAAGGTGAGAGGATTGCCTGAGCACGGGGGTTCGAGACTAGCCTGGGCAACTTGGTGAGACCTCGTCTCTACAATAAATCAAAAATTAGCTGGGTGAAGTAGCGCGCGCCTGTAGTTCCAGCTACTCAGGAGGCTGAGGCAGAAGGATTGCCAGCATCTAGCAGGTTGAGGCTGCAGTAGCTGTGAGTGTGCCACTGCACTTCAGCCTGGGTGAAAGAGTGAGACTCCAACTCAAAAACAAAAACAAACAAAAAAAACAATAAGAAGGACTTTATTCAGGACTATTGTTATAGGTGAAAAGACCATCCCAATGAGATCTGACACAACTTTTTTTTTTTTGAGTCTCACTCTGTCGCCCAGACTGGAGTGCACTGGCTGCTCCCCGCCACCGCA